GGGGGAACAGTGCCTGTGTGGAAATATGAGTCATTTTAGTGTGACGAGGAGGGGGGAAGCGGCGCTCGCTTGGGTGGTGGCGGAGATTAGCAGGTTCCGAAAGGGACGTCACCTCGTTACCTGTCTGCTTACTTATCGCACGCAGCACCGGTGCCCCCCCATCTGGAGGCAGCAAAATCCGCACCGCGGCGTGGCTTGCTGGTTAGCGAGCCCTGTGCACATTTTTATATGAATTATCACTAGCGATCGATGGTCGGTTGCTAGCCGTCCCCCCTGGTTGCCTAGCCATCTTATGTATGTTAGGAAGAATGTGGTGTTTCGGAGGTATAATGTCATGTGTATGTTGTTGACAACTCCTATTTAGCTTTTCCGCTGCAGAGACGTGGTGCTTCCTGGCCACTCCGATAAACGGAAGCAGGCGGCAGCACGGCACGGCAATGTGCTGTGTGAGCTAGCTACCCTACATGTGTCTCCCCCTCGGGTTTAGCCACCGTCTCGCAGCATTGTGAAAAACGTCTCTAAGTGGATTTTGGAAACAGGCTCTTTTAATTTATGTTCTTAGTTACAATACTCCAAAAGGAGTCTAGATCATTTGCCGAAAAAGTCTTTGAGTAAAGTCAAATTTCTCGAGATTTTAGTTTAATTGTAAATTGTCGTTGTCTGTTTCCCCTCAATTAGATTACTCGATGAAATTTCAACTGTTTATGACTCATCTTTGTCCCTTGCGTAATTGCAAAAAATTGCAAAAAAGCTAAAATGAAAAATAGGAAAGAATATGCTGAAAAATAGTACAGGGTCTGGTGCATATCCGCAGCCACGGTACCTACCACTAAATCTGGCAGTCTACACTCAATTATCTTGTGTAATATATATTAGGATGCATTTGCCACTTACTCCGACGCGGCCGCCGCCTCTACGGATTCCGCCGCCGGGGGCGTTGCCAGCTCCGCCGCCGGGGCAGTCTCCTTCAGCGACTTAGCACCGTCGGTAGGGGTCTTCGCCTTTTTGGCCCGCGACTTGGCCCGAGGCTTCTTCTTTTCCGGTTCGCCGTTTTGAGCCGGCTTCAGCAGCTCGTCATCGGCGGCGGCGTCGGCCTCTTCCGCCCGTTCGGCATCGTTGGCCCGAGTATTTATCGCCACGTCGACGACGATATTACGCCCCAGCACCTCGGCGCCGTTGAATTCGGCAATCGCCTTCTTCTGGAGCTCCAGCAGCGGGAACTTGACAAAGGCAATCCCCTTGTTGTAGGCTCTACGCCCCTGTTGACGGCCCTTCCACTGCGTCTTGCGCAAGGGAATGTACACCCATTTGGGCTCAAGGTCCTTAAACAAACCCTTTAATGTCAGCACCGTCACCCGGTAGTCGAGGTTGGTGACGAAGACGGTGTCGGGCGACGGCTCGCCGTCAGGCACCTTGGTGGCAGCAGCAGTCTCTGCCGGAGCCTGAGCCGTCAGCGTCGCCGCTGCCAGCTCGTCGGTGCCGTTATTAAGCGCTTCCTCCTGTTCCTGTTGGCGTTGGCGAGCCTCGTCCTTCTTGCGCTTCTTCTCAGCGACAATCGCCTGCTTCTTCTCCTTGTACGCCTTGTTGCGTGCCTGTTTTTCTTCTTCAGTCAACGGAGGCACCGCTTTCTTGATCAGGATGTTCCGGCGCAAGAACTGGTGGCCGTTAAACTGGTCAATGGCGGCGTCGGCGTCGGCGTCCAGGGCAAACTCAACAAAGGCAAACCCAAGCTTACGCTGGTAAGGACCCTTACGGGTCTCGACGGTCTTGCTGGGGATCTCGACGTCAGTCCTAGAAGTGGTTAGTGGCGAGACGGCAATCGCCGAAAAGGCGGGGGTAAACGGGTACTTACACGTTCAAGTCGGCGAACAACTGGCGCAATTCGTCTTCCTGGGCTTTGTAGTCGACGTTGCCAATGTATACTCTATTCGCAATCTCTGGTTTGGCGGACATGGTGGTGAGGGTGTCTGGGTTGAATGGTGGCTCTCCACGGTTGAATTTTTGGTGAGCACCGGGGGCTCGCAACACGGGGTGACGGCAACGCGAGGTGGGTGTTTCGAACTTAAAACAAGCCCGATGGCGAGCGATCTAAGTGTGGAAAAGAACATTATGAACGACACATATCGTGGTCTAGACCCGTTACCGGTGGTAATTATTATGTTCTGTGGATGGGAAGCGATTTACGAATATTTACTAAAATATGAGGTGGTGGAGTGAGGTGGTATGACATAGCAATCGACGGCTCAAAATTTTGGTACTAGTAGTTGTTGTCAGTGTGTACCACACGAAGTCCAAGGCTTGTATTAGCAACGAGATTAGTGAGCTATCACTATTATTCTCAATGCCATTCTAGTATGGCTTCGCGCTTACCAAGTCTCGCCTACCCATTGGCCCCGGGAGGAGTCACGTGTCGCGCGAACCTGAGATACCACCAATGAAAATTCCACCAATAAAATTTGAACCAGATTTTCACCAATGTCGTTGTTCAAGGATTTGCTCGAGTTGGTCACCCCCGTGGCCTACGCCGAAGAAGTACGTGTTTTTGCCTAATTGCCAACGTCAAACAAAGGGGGATTTCTGTTGGCAGAGCCCGACGAATTGACCCCCGCTTGACATACGCCTGGCCCGTGTGTTTTTGATCTTCATACTAACCATCTAGGCTGAAGAAGAAGTTGACACCCCTGAAGCCGACGCCGGCGCCGACGAAGACAAGTCGGAAGTAGAAGAAGAAGCTGAAGAGGAAGAAGACGCCGAAGACGAAGAAGAAGACGAAGACGAAGAAGAAGAATTGGAAGACCCCCAAGAAGTGCTCAGAGAAGAATGCAAGAACCTTCCTGAATGCCAACCTTTCAACCACCACTTGGAAGAATGCATTGAGAGAGTCACCAAGGCCCAGGAACACCCTGACTACCACAAGCAAGAACACCACGAAGACTGTGTCGAAGAATTCTTCCACCAGCAACACTTCATTAACGAGTGCATGGCCCCCAAGTTGTTCCACAAGTTGAAGTAAAATGTTCATTGTATGTAGCACGTATATTTAATCATGCTGGTCAAAAAAGGATGCCAGCCCCATAGCTACTATTTGTAGGTGCGATTGGTTGAATATTGGACCCAATTGCAAGACACACAAAATTTACGAGCATAAATGCTTTACAATAAATTTGTGGCCTTACACAATTGTGAATATGTCTCTCGTATATTGGTGCTATTTCTTTCTTTGGAGTGTTACTGAGCTTGACCTGTACACGATAGCAACCTTGGCCTATGAGATCAGACTTATCATTTCGCGAGGAACACAATTGAGGAGAAATGGAGGAAATGGAGGGGTGATTACTCAAGTAAAACCTATTAATTTGTAAATCATGTGAACAAACACTTGTTGATGATTAAAACAAGCTAATTGTCAGTTGAAACTCTGTCGTACTCTATTAAATATCGAGAAACCACATTAAGTTGGTCTCAACGACATCCAAGCATGTGGCATGATTATCAGATGGTTTTTTGAAATTACAATGATGCTATTCCTTTTCCAAGAAACACATAGAAATACAATTATGATTGAGTGACATATGCTAGTGGGAGGATTCGAACTGGTAGTCTCAGGCGGTTTCGAAAACTATAAACAAACATGCGCATGTCGCAAAACCGATCAGCACATGTAATCGATAGCTGGCAATACCGTCAGCTACAGCGTGAATCAGAAGATGAACGCTCCCAGGCGTGCTAAATATCGATTCAGAATAATCAACGAAGCGGCATAGATCGAATTAGTGGGTGTCTAGCGTCGTTCTCTACAATTCTCATCTCACGTGACCTAGGGTTGATAGCCCTAGTCGCACTCCTGCCAGAATTTTTCACCATCGCGCCTAGTGGCTCCAACCCGACATCACCATGGCCCCCAAAGGAAAGAAGGTTGCCGCCGCCCCCTTGGCTAGCAAGACTGCTTCGGCTTCGGCCCCCAAGAACCCCCTCTTGGACTCGACCCCCAAGAACTTCGGTCTTGGCCAAGCCATCCAACCCAAGCGTAACTTGCTGAGATATGTCAAGTGGCCCGAGTACGTCCGTTTGCAACGCCAAAAGAAGGTGTTGCAAATGAGAGTCAAGGTCCCCCCTGCCATTGCTCAATTCCAAAACACCTTGGACAAGAACACCGCCGCCCAAGCTTTCAAGTTGTTCAACAAGTACCAACCCGAAACCGCCGCTGCCAAGAAGGAAAGATTGACCAAGGAAGCCGCCGCCGTCGCTGAAGGCAAGTCCGCCAAGGACGTCTCGCCCAAGCCCGTTGTCGTCAAGTACGGTTTGAACCACGTCGTCGCCCTCGTCGAAGCCAAGAAGGCCAAGTTGGTCCTCATCGCCAACGACGTCGACCCCATTGAATTGGTCGTGTTCTTGCCCGCTTTGTGCAAGAAGATGGGTGTCCCTTACGCCATCGTCAAGGGTAAGGCCAGACTCGGGACCTTGGTCCACCAAAAGACCTCCGCCGTTGCCGCCTTGACCGAAGTCGAAGCCGCTGACGAAGCTGAGCTCTCCAAGTTGGTCTCGGCCATCAACGCCAACTTCGCCGAAAAGTACGAAGACGCCCGCAGACAATGGGGTGGTGGTATCTTGGGTGCCAAGTCGCAAGCCAAGCAAGCCAAGAAGGACAAGCTTGCCGCCGCTGCTGCTGCTCCCGCTCAAAAGGCTTAATTGCCCTGAGTAGTGTAATATAGACTAATACATCTTCGGAAATAATCTTTGGTTCGTAACATCTTTGTTACATCAATTATGGGTAAACAATAAAACGCCCAAGTAAACAATATTGACATTCACACTGACAAGCTTATCAGGCTGATGACATCATTTGCGACGTAGCCAATTTGTAATCGGAGGTGTCAACAATGGCGGATGCAATGGTCAAATTTCAATACGAGACAATCACCGCCGGAGAAACTCAGCACACCGCGTATGTCGTTTTGTGCCCTCGGGTAAAATCCTATTTAGACGACGACGAACAAGGATATCCCCATCCAGGCAAATTCGTCTCCACCACCCCTGGGTGATGACAATATCGTGGTGAATCTTCTTCGTCGAAAGCCTAAAGACAAAACCCCACTAGCGGCAATTATTATTGTCTGATCTTTTCTAAAGTTTAGCGTGAATGAGAGAAAGGCTTCTCTAACGTCTTTCTCAACCGTCCACTACAGGCAAGACTACAAAAAAAAGAAACAAAAGCCAAGGGCTTCTCTCTAATAAGAAGCACCGTCCCTAGATCCCTTCAGCCGCCGCCACCTACATGCAATTGGTCACCTCGGCACCCCCTGTGGAGAGCTGTGTACCTTACTAGCAGAAGCGAAGGGGCGCCTTCAAAGGGGGTTTGCTGACTCTTTTGGTGACTCCTTGGGTGACTCCTCCATTGTGGCTAGTGTGTAGAGAGTAGAACGTGAATTGTGGAGACGTTGCAGATGCTGTCGGAGTAGTGTTGACCAGCGGATGCGCCGGGGGGCCATTGTATCGCCGGGGGGCCATTGTATCGCCGAGCAACAATGGAGAGTGGGTCACCGAGGGGGGGATTACGGTCAGCGGAGCGGGGTTAAGGAAGACACGGAAACGTAGGAGGTTGGGACGACAACCTGGGGTCGCGAATGCCTATCAACAATCGCTTCGTGACCCAGTGGGTTTCGGTTCGAACATTAGCATTAACGTTTCGGTTGTCGTGCCATCGACGTCATCCGTGTCCGAACAATCTAACCTAATCAGCAGGCAATTTTACCCCGAATTGGCCATACCAGCGCGCACCGAGTAATGACGGGAATTGCGGAGAAAACCACTGGGAGAGGAGTGTCAAGCACAAGCAGAGCAAATTTATCAGGGTAATGACCAAGGGCGGGTGAATCTCTTCAATTCCACTCGCTGGTGTCTTTGTTGCTCTGCCTTAACGTGTGGAAAAGGCGGACTAAGATTGAGTCTTCCTCAGTGGATGTATTGGTCACGTTGCCATGGCGGTGGTGCGTGTTCAATATTTTTATGGCCAAACACCCTAATGGCGCAAACGGCAAAATCTGGAGGGCGGAAAACGGGGACAAAGACACGCTACCCTTCGCTGATGGTCGTGACACAGATAGTGTTAGCTCACTTTCAAGGAAACCTGGGTATTCTGACTTCATTTCCATCATTATATGTGGGTCTGTTTCACCTTGAATACAGTGGTAACGCAGAGTGGGCACACGACAATAGCGTATACTGTGGGTGCTTACCGTCATGCCTTTCATGCCTGACAATAACGCTCCTCTTCCCATGGTTGTGAGCGCAAGCCCGAGAAACTCACCATGTCTTCTAACCAGTGCAACCAAACCATCTTGATTTTATCCATCTTGCGGCAAAGGATATAGCTAATTTAACCGGATTCAGCGAAAATACCAGGGGAAAGATAACGGACTCTCCGGAAGGTGCCGTCGGTGCTACCACCAGCGCCCGGCCGCCGCTGCCTCAGCTAATGCCTCACGCAGGTGGTGGCAGCGAGGCGTCGACAGTACGGCTCCCTCCGTCAGGGGGAGATAGATTACGATCGGCGCTGTCAACGCTTGCGCTTTTTCGGTGAAACTGGGACCATCTCCACCCACGGTCATGGCACCCACTATAGACGAGAGACTTACGAAAATCAAGGTCACCAAATGTCACGTTCCACAGAGATTGTCCTCTCTAATGCCGTGGAGATGGAGAAAGGCCGCAAGCCCAGCTCGCTTATCGCACTAGGCGCTGAACGCCGTTTGTTTCCACCCGCGTTGCCCAGGTAACACGTGGGGTAAATATTCCGGAGATTTTGGGGTTTCACCAGGAAATGGTCCCGTCAGTCTCTAAAAACTATCCCATAATACGTATTAATTTCCCTATAGTGCTAACTAGACGGGGAGCGATACACACGCGTTTCTCGTAGCGCGTTCCCCAATGATAAAAACAGTACTCCATACTCGTACTCCGTAGTAATAATCCATTGGCGAAGAATTGAAACAAAAATAGAAAGGCAAGCAATGCTAACAGCGGACCGCCACCCAGCGGGCGGGGACGGCGCCTTTGCGCATCGACTGCGCTCGCGGCAGCTGGCCTTTGCCCCGGGGTGGGCACGGGTCGCGCCGCGGGGGGAGGGTCACTCGCTCCCAGAGCTTATCCAACAGCCGTTGCGACAAGTTGTGCACGTTGTGTTGGTAGTGGAACCTCAAGACGTAGCGCGACACCTTGCCTGTATCCACTAAAAGCAGGTTATCCCGGGCCCGGCGATCAAGGGCGTATAGGCGGAGGAAGTCCAGGTTGATGCGCGGGTCGCGAGCCTTCGGCACCACCGGCGCCGTTTCCGTGGTATCGACCACTGGCCCTCGGAGCTGGCGGCGCACGATGGCGGCCACGGGGCCGCGGGGCGCTAAGAGGCCTCGAGTGGTCACGGTGACCTTCAGCACTTCCGCTGGCGCCGGCGCCAGCTTCTCCACTGCGTAAGGGCATCCGCCAACCGACCCCATGCTCGTCAGCAGACTCAACGAGAGGAGCAGCAGCGGGAAACTGCGTATCAGCTCGCTGTCGCTATCCTTATAGTCGGGCATGTCTCGTCGAGTCGTGAACAGAGATGGAGGCTTGGGATAAGCCGGGGTCATGTTATATATACGGGGTACGCCGCCGCCGCGCGCGATTATTATCGCGTTGCTGACGAGGCCGCATGGGGCGCCGCCCCTGCACCTAGACACACATTTTGACCAGACGATAATGCGCGAGCGCCGATGCTCCGACTCACAGGACAACCCATTGACAAGGGGAAACAAACCAGAGCCGGACTGCAGATAAGCAAAACCTAGTCACCGCGACGGAGGGGGGGTGAGGGGGGAGGCTTTAGCAGGCACAATGTGACTCGTAAAAATCGTCAATCAATTTGACGTGACCGCGTGACAATTTCCCCCTGTGTCAGATCCACCAAGTTTACGTTTAATGCCTATATACTGTGGTTTATTGCTTCCCTGGCGACCCGTTATGAGGATGACCCTGGTTAGCAATATCCCGTAAATTGTCTCCATCACAACCACGTTTTAACTCGTAACCGGAGGTGACGGTGAGGCTCACCAACCATCAGCCACCAACGTAACTGTTGCTAAGACAAATGCTGGCGCTCGGAAGTTGATTCGGGTTCCGACAACGGCTCCGATAATGGCTCGAGCTCAAACAGAGCCACGCGCTGGTAGCGCCCGCCAGGGCCGCCACTAGTAACACCGCCGTCCTGTTGGAACAACTTGTCAATGTCTTCAAGCTCCAACCCCTTGGTCTCCGGGTAGAACCGGAACACTACCATCACCAGGATGAAGCACAGCCCCGCGGGGAAAAGGTACAACCCCCACTGGATGCTCTCTTGGAGCACAGGAGTCAACTGGCCCACAATGTAGTTTGAAAGCCAGTTTGTAGCCACGGCCAATGACACCCCTTTCGACCGCACCGAGAGCGGGTACACTTCAGGGGGGATCAAAAACCCAATCGGACCCCACGAGTAGCCAAAGCCAGCGTTGTAGACGATCACCAACAACGCCACCAGCATCAGCGTGTAGCTTTGGTTGACGTACATCATGAAACTGATGAGCAAAAGACAGATGCCCATGGTGATCCCCCCGGAAATCAAGATCGGTTTACGCCCCCACCGGTCAACTAGGAACCACGGTGGGATCGTCAGCGCCAAGTAGACAAGAGCGTTGATCCCCGTCATCAAAAGCGCGTTGCTGTGATCAAAACCGGCCTCGCGGAATACGAGGGGAGCATAGTATGAAATGATATTAATCCCATTGAACTGGGCAAACATGAGCGCCAGACACCCGAGCAAGATTCTCAGTTTGTAGGCGCGGAACATGTGGCGCCACAGGCGTTCTGACTTCGGCGTGGTAACCCGCTCGTGCAAAATGGCGTTTTTAATATGCAAAAATTCATCCTGGACTTTCTGGGGCAGCGGGTCCAGGTCGTAGAGCAATGCGAGCACATGGAACCCTTGCTGGTCCATGTCGTTATCCAAGAGCCACCGTGGCAGTTCGACAATGAAGAAGCCGCCGATGAAAAGCACAAACGCAATTACCACCTGTAGAAATAATGGTAACCGCCACGAAAGCTGGGCAATAGTGCTATGGGGCTTTTTCCGGGCATCACCAATGTCTTGGAAGAAATACAGACCGTAATCGACCCACACTGAGAGGGCGTAGCCAATGATGTTACCGGTAAACTCGCCACATACCAACTTACCCCGCTCTTCCAGGGGCAGGATTTCACATTGGTACAGGGGCACGATAGTGGAGAGAATACCCACTCCGAACCCGGAGATCACTCGCCCCACACCAAATACCACTAAGTTGGTGGCACAGGTTTGTAAAAGGCCGCCCACCATAAATATAAGGGTTCCCGAAAGCATCGTCCGTTTACGGCCAAACGTATCACTCATTTTCGCCACCAACAACAGCGAGATCATGGCGCCAATCTCGAGGATGGAAATGACAAACCCGATCTCGGACGCTGTCGGATGGTCAAAGTACCGGGTGAAAGTATCGAAAATAAGGATTCCCAGACACACCCCTTGTTCGTAGCCAAAAAGCGAAACAAACAACGAGATGAACCCCAGAGTGAAGTACACCAATCGCTTACCTTTGAATCGAAGTTTGCGAGTGTAGGCTTTGTTGTTGAGGTCAAGGTAGTCGTAGTTGTTGCCGAAGTCGTCCACCACCGAGGCGTGACCGCCGTGGTCGGAGTCGCGGTCGGCGTCGTCGAACTTCACCAGGTCGTCCTCGTCCCCATGGTCGCGGCTGAAAAGCGTTCTTTCCTCGTCCGAGTCCATGTCATACGTCGGGTGGGTGGTTTTTAAGAGAACAGGGTGGTTATACGAATTGAACACCTGCAACGCTGTGGGGCAAGCGAGAGATCCTGCACTCCGGTGGCGTACTGCACACAGTGCCAGCTTGGCAAGCGCGCTTTCGACTCAGTTTTTTAAGTATGGTTGAGAGAGTTAGTTCGCGGATTATATCATTAAGCTAGAAAAGTCTATATTAAGTTTTATTTCGGGAGAGCGCGGGCCACGGGTAGAGCACCCACGCCATCGATGACATCATCTTACAACAACATGGCGCCGACAGCGACGAAAGCGGCCCCGACGGCGGGGGCGGCCACACCAACGGCATCGTTGAGCTTCAGGGTGCCGGAGTAAGTGTAGGTGGTGGGGAACGAGTGCGTCGCCAGTTGAGCCAACGACCCGAGGGCATCGGCTTCAGCCTGAGTGATGGCGCCGAAAGCAACCCCGGTGGGGACGGTACCATGGTAGTGGTTGTAGTAGTCCAGGTATCTCAGCGAGTAGAATTCCTTAGCGTCGTCGGGGATCACCGAGTGTTGCACGGCCCAGTCCAACATCTTGGTGGGCCTAGCGGTGACATACCACTCGTCGTCGGACCCGGTCTTCACCAAGAACGAGTTGATGCCTTCAAGGTGGATGTCGGTGGCCGACTTAGAGATGACTTCGGCGGCGGCGGCCGCAAGCAAGATGAACCCAGCGAAAACCATATTAGATAGACTAGCACTCGGAGCGGCCGGCGAATTGGCCCTTAATATATATAACGCACCCCGTCATGGTCACGGGACACCGTTCCGCGGCGCCCGGAGGCCCTAGAGCAATTGTGTCACTTTTAATACCGCGCTAGCTGCCGTCGTCGGTGGTTAACTGTTCCGAGGGTAGCCTGGTAGATAAGTATGGGGACTTAAACCGGCGAAATTGGCGGCTACAGGGGCACAAAATTTCTTGTTTAAATCACTATAGCCTTTAGTGATGCGATGGGTTTGCTCCCTTCCTAAGTTTGTCGGGTCAGTGGTGACTAATGGCGATAAAAGGCCTGATCACAGATTTGTGCATACTGACATTTTTATGCGTTGAGCGGGAAATTCGGGGTGGAAGTTCCGGCTGAGAAACGAGGGTCAAATGAGGCATTTACAAGGCTCATCGCTGCTACCTTGTGTTATTGTTGATAGATTGGCCCAATGCAATATCTCCTAAACCCTTGCCTCAGGGCTTATCCCCGTGGTTGCCAACCTGACCAGGGGGCCCTCGTGCTAAAGCATGGCTAGCTGCTGTATCTGACGTCCCACCTAATTCTTGGCATCTTGCTCCCTCGCTCTGCCAATTCGCATTATCGGATATAGCACGGGGGGAGGGTCTCCGGTCGCTAGAGCCCCGATTAAATTCCCTCACCGCCGTGCACAGACGGTACGAGGATTTAGGGAGGATAAAAAAATTATGTGTGGAAATTTGGGATAAATGGATAGCATGGACAATACCGGCATCGGTAGCCGTTTGTTTTAGATAGTTAACATTGGGAAATTAGCACTGCACCGTGTCAATGAGTGGCACCGATGTATCGTCTGACGCAAGGTGTTTCAGTACTTAAAATGATAAGGCACATAGTCGACACAGATCGAATGTCGTTCGAACACCCACTATCGGGGCTTATGTTTCTTTTCAGCGTGTAAATGACGTACCTGATGTAGATTTTTGTGTTGCCTTCCACTTGGTGCCTTTGTATTTACGAACCACCCTGCAAAATGTGGGGTAAGCGAACGTACTACAGCGGGTAGTGATGGGGAGTGACGGGTAGTGATACCAATGGAGCACTAATTACACTCATATCTAGAACCGAAATTGTCTATTATATTAAGTTCTAGGAAAAAAAAAAAAGAAACGGTTTTAGTATCTAGGCTTTCTTCTGCTTCTTCAAGTAGGATTCCACGTAGAAAGCGCCGAACAACGCCGTCAACGGAGCCAAGTAGCCCACGTTAATAAATAAGGACAACGCCTGGTCAGGGGTCTGGAAACAGTTGACAAAGTCGACGTTCTTGGCGGTGGTGTCGGCGATACGGACACCGGCATTAATCACGGCCAACGAGCCACCGACAACAAACTGAGTGATTTGCAACGAGGTCAAAATGCGCTTGAAGAACATCGGCACTCTAATCTTGAGACACGACAAGGTGAAGTAGAAGTACATGAGGGAATGGATGAACGAGTTGAACACCACAAAGATCCAGATGGCGGGGGCCATGAACCGCACCCCCAGCCACATGCACATCATCGCCCCCGAGTGGTGGTACAGCTGCAACAACGACGATGGGCGACCCTTAAGCAAAATGATGGCGGTGTCGATGACTTCGTAGAACTTCGACAAGTAGAACCACCACCCGAGGAACAACAAGTTGTTGCGGTTGTCGTTTTTCAACACGTTGGAAAACACGCCGTTCTTGGCGTCGCAGATGGTGTGCCAGAACGAGTCCACCTTCTTGAAGCCGGTAGGCTCGGCGGCATCAAACAACGACAATCTCGTCAAGAACTCGGGGAAGATGTCCTGCTTGAAAAGCTGCATGTTCTTGCCGATGTAGCCGGTCATGGCGATGAACGTCCACACCGAGTACACGCAGAGGAAAAGGTTGTGCAAAAACACAAACACTTTAAACGCCTTAGTGTTGGCGATGGCGTAAGGAGCAGCGGGCAATCTCTTGATACCCTCGGCCGACTTCAAGTTAGTCTTGTGTTCGGCGTTGTACTTTGCCAACTGGCGGCGACGCACCACCGAGTTCATCAAGTGAACCGAGGTGAAGTAGATGATGGCGATGGTGATGGGAGTCAGCGCCTTCATCGACCAGTAGAACACGTCCTGCAACAACGACGACGTGAACGGGGCCTCGGGGACGGGGGTGTCCATGGGGGGCAACTTGAGCACCAGCTTGGGCGGCAATCCGAACTTGATCAACGACGCCATGACGGAGAAGCTCTGGCTAGGGATTCGTGTAAATGTCTAGCGCCGCGGCATCCGCGCCGGTTTATATTTGATCGCAATCCATACCAAAACATAGGGGCTGCACCTGTCCAGTTTCGGGCAGGCGCATCGGAGTACTTGCCCCAACAAAAATTGGGAGATGACCTGTACCATCCGGAGATTGCCATTACAAATAGCCTGGGCATCCGCAAAAAAAACCGTTAACGTTGCTCTAGGCTGTGGCTGCAAACGGTTGCCATTTTCCCGTTTCCGAAGCTTCCACCGGTTAACCTTTCGCAACCATTTTTGTTTGTGATGGCCTTATAGGGGTGCTTTTTTTTCATCCCAGGGATACATGGGGACCTCGGTCAAAAGCCGGCCCCTATGCGCGGTGCCCGCAATCATTGTCATCGAATAATGCCAGACCCTGGCAGGTGTATACCCGCCTGAACCCTAATACAAAGAGGCAAAAGAAACGTTGAGATACTTTTTCTCAAAACACCCTCGTGTGAACGTTTTCATTCTTATCACGTTCTACAAAAACCATTACTGTTTCTTTTTCAACCTCTCGCGCGGTACACTAGCCTCATGCCGGGATCCCGCGTCGATGACGTTAATGCCGCGCAGCTTTTCTTGGTGGGCACCCATCAGTTACCGAGCCGGCCCCGTCGTAAATTGGGTGCTTAGACTGTGAGTTGTTTTTAGAAAAACGTGTGTGGTAGTGAGGGTATAATGCATTAAATTGTCTGAGTCAGGATTTTATAAGGGTTTGCCTGCTCGGTGGTATCTAAAGTCGTATATCATTAAGCGTCGGGTTTGTGATCAAGTGGGCTTCCACCGCAGTTCACCATATCGGCTGGCGGACGGGCATCGTCGGCCCAAACGGCAGAAACATTTGGGACGCCACCTGCGACGGTTTTAAGAGGGAGGTATCGGTGGGTCTAAGCGAGGGGGGGAGCGGCGGGAGCGGGTCTTGCACTGGGGCAGGGCGGCGCTGGCGCTTAGCATCGTAGACAAACGGTTTCTTTTCGAGGATGGAGAACTTCTTTTCCCGCAAGTATTGGGTTAAATCGTTGATGGCAGTCTGCACGGCGTAGTCATCGTAGTAACTGAGGATGATCTGGTGGTCATCCAGATCGCCGTACAACGGAGTGTGGTTCACCACCACTTCCACTGCTAAGTGGATGCGGAACGGCACCACAATCCGCGAGAAGAACTCGCCGCTGGCACCAGCAAAGTGGTCAGCATATAAGCGGGGCGACGCGGGGATGCAGAACTCCCAGTTCTTCGGCATCAATTGGTGCAATTGGCGGAGACACTGCTTCGTCTTCAATTCGGTTCCCTTAATGGCCACCACGACCTCGTCGACGTCGTCAAACGCTTCCACCAGGGCAGGGAAGTCGATGAATGTACCAAACTGAGCCTCCAAGTCGTGGATGGCCCGCATCTTATTGGTGTTGATCATCAACAAGTAGTGTGGCCGCAAAAGCTTCAAGTGCTCGGTGTGGTAGCTGGCGGTGGTCAGACAGTGGTTGACCAACGCCTCGATCTCAGCTCGCACCAGGTTGATGTTGCCGGCGTTCTTTCTTGGACACTTGATGAGGACGTTGGCGGCACGTTTAAACAGGTAGATGTCACGAGCATAGTCGTCGCCGCCAGTGGAGGAGAACTTGATGAACACGTTGTGTTTCTTCATGATCAGCTGGATGATGGTACCGCCGTTACCAATGATGGATTTGTGGAACACTTCGGGGACATTAAACTTAAGTTCAGCGGGGAGCTCAAGCTCTAATAAGTCGAGCCCTTTGGTGAGTACCAGCAAGTTTGTGCCTTCAACGATCTCGAAGTCAAGGTAGAAGTTGTGGCCGTTATAGGGGCGGAACTTGATCGTGGGCAATTGGTTCAATTGGTTCAAAATTTTAATGAGTTTACCGTTTTTCTTACCCGAGATAAACTCACGTTGAGTCGACGCCAACTCAAGCCGGAGCCGCACGTGGGTGAAGTCAGGCATCGCCAGAGCCGCCATATCCATCATCAACAGTTTGATTTCCGTGGCCAGCCCTTCAATGTCCATGCCGTACTGGTTGGCCAGCACCACGAGCGTCTTGCGGGCTCTCATCAATTGGAGCAACATGAACTCGTCCACGGGGGCAAAGTACGAGATACGCGTCTGGTAGTACTCGGTAGCCAATAAGTTAATATCGCTCACGGCATCGTTGACGGCGTGCATCGAATATCCTTGTACAACCACACGACAGTCTCCTCCCAAGGGGGGCATCTTAATGTAGACGCCGTACTTGAACATAATGGTGAAAAGCGCCAGCTGGCTGTATAACGAGAGCAAGTCGAGTCTCAGGCGCAGCATATCGATTTCCTTGCGGAGTAGTCTCAGTCCCGAACCCATCCGTTGACTGATAAGGCGATTAAGCATTTCTTTAGCGAGGGTCACTTCGGCGGCGCCGGGAGCAGTCACCCAGAGTTTAAATTCCGTCAGACTGGTGCCAAACACATTGGGTAAAAGATCAGGCACGTAGATGTTGGCGTTCGCCTGAGCGGCCACTTGGCTAAAGTTGAATAAGTCGACGCCACCCACTAAGGGAACAAGACTTAAATCGATGTCAATTGCTTCACAGAGGTATTGGTTAATGTTACAGTCAACAAGGATGCGCACGGCGGTGTCACCAGCAGTAACGGCGTCTTGGTAGCCGTAAAGCGTAAGCACATAGTCGTCGTCGACTTCGACAATAGTAGCTTCAAGCTGGTGGTGTTGGCACACGCGTTCTAGCGACTGGTGGAAGGTGTCGTCGATCCTCCGGAACTCATCTCTCAGCAAAAGCACCGCTTTCAGCGCCACTTGGTTGTACTCTCTTAATACCGCCGCACGGGCTTCGCGCACATAGTCATCGCCGCCGTTGATGGCGACGGTGATGAGCGGGTGGTCCAATTGCGGTTCCGCCACCACCACGCTGCCGTGGCCGGACTCACTGAGACTGTGGGCGGCTTTACAGAGCAGGGGCAAGTTGTCGATGAAGCGCACGTCGTCGACGTGGCGCCAGTGGCCGTAGTCGGAGGCGAACTCCGCGCCATGTGCCAGCACACTTAGGAACGAGTACTCGAGGTTGAGCACACACACATTGGCCATGGTTTATCCGGGAAGAATGACGAGGTCGAAGGGGTATCACAAGTTTAGGGGCCGGCGGCAATGGGGCGTACGTGGTATATAAGCTGTGCGCTCGTGAACGTGTGTTTAATTTGTCCCGATCGGGATGAGACCCTCGCTACCGGCTCGATCGGGGCGGATTGTAAACAAAACAACGGGGTTGGGCAACGGCAACAAAAAGAGGCAACTAGTGGGTGGACTAATGGCGATAGTGAAAAATTTAGTCGGTTGTCGTAAATTGCGTAGATTGCTTATCATGAAAATACCGTTTAGTTAGGAGCTCATCTCATTATGGTATTTTTCAGAAGACCGTAACGCCGTAAAGTCAAAGCCCTGCCCTGTACCTCTCATCGTTTATCGTTACCATGCAATGTGGGCGATAGGGCTCTGTTGACACCAGGGCTGAGCGGTACCGCTAGTGCCGCATAAACGAGCAACCAGACCAAGACTACCGAGCAAACCAGACTCCTTTCTAAAAAAGTAATTGGTCATATTAGTGATTAGTTCAGCTACTTAACAAAAAAAAATGAAAGACACATAGTGTTTTGATTGATGGATTATAGCTCATATGTTAAGTATTCTCAATTTATCTATATTTTAATAATTCTAATTTTACATACGCGAAGTGGTATCGAACTCGCTTCACTCATCATCAAATTATGGGTATACCACGTATGTACAAACAACCAGAACCGCAGTTATTGTCCGCAAACAATTGTGGAATCCAACAGAGTGAAATTGCCGAAACGAAAAAGCCCGCAGGGAAGAAGAAGGAGATAGTGTTGGTACAGAGAAGATCAGCGGCACAATGGGGATATATGGGGGGTTCAATGTTGTGGGAAGGTGCGGTCTGTGGTGGCAATTGGCAACGTGGGGAGACTTGGTGGGTCTACTAATGAGCCCAGCCAAGCGAGTTTTGAGCGTTGACGGGAGTGGAAATGTGCATCGTCCCCAGGTTGTTAGCAGCAGCACCCGGAGCGTACATGTCTCCAGCCAGAGTTCCCGGTGCGTGTTGGGCGGCACCGCCGTCGGCTTGGTTAATCCGCTGGAAGATCAGAGAGAAGCCCAGCAGCCCATCCAGTTGCAGTTGCACTCCCAAGTTCAGCTCAGAGTCCAGCGGAGGCAATTCAATCGCCATCTTGTTCTTCTTGTAACGCTTGAATAACAAGAACATCAACGAGATGTAGATGGCCCCCGCCGCCGCCAGCCCGATGGTGATCCCGGCAATCTTGCCTGAATTGCCCAGCGACACCTGAGGGCGGTCCAACGACCCATTAACCCCCGTAGGCAGCAGCTTATCGCTGTTGTCGGGAGAAATCAGGTCGTCACCAAACGTGGGGTCGTTAATCTTGACTCGGGGATCCACCAACAGCGCGAGCGTCTGCTCCCTCAGGTCGGGGTTGCGGTAAATAAGCGACCCCGGCGTCAGGATAAACTGTTGGAGAGCGTCAACCAGGTCCTTGGGGAAGTACACTTCGGCCACAGTAATGTAGTACGGCACTTGCGGCGCATTGTAAGGCACTAACCGCTTCACAGCCACTTCAGCGTACTTGGCAGTGTCACCAAAAGGGTAGGTAAGAGCACCAGGCAAGTACTGGAAGATCTGGGCACTCAGCAACGAGTGTTCCACCACGAAGGGGTAGTTGAGCTGCAGCTTAAAACCAATGTGAATGATCTGGTAGTCTTGAGACGAGGGCGCCGTGGTCGTAGGCGGGGTAATCGCCTTGGGAAGGGCCGCGGTAGCCGTCGGCGACGCCAGAGCAGTGTCAATGCCTTCTTCCACGGTTTCCTGCACAATTTGTGACGGCAACCAGTCCTTGGTCGATGTGGTGGGCATGGGAGGACCGGTAGTAGGCGGTTCCGTGGGCAACGCCGTCAATTGTTGGTCATTCAGCGACTGGTAAGGCGGTTGCACCGGCTTCACCGACAGCGTGGGAACTGGTTCTTCGGCCGTAGTAGTGGGGACAGGTTCAGTAGCGGCTTGGGTTGATTGTTCAACAACTTGTTCAGTGGTAGTGGGAGCAGCTTGCGACTCAGGCGTGGGTTCCACCTTAGATTGTTCCACAACCGTCGTCGGCGACACCTCCTCAGTAGTGGCAGGAGTCGACTGTTCAATCACTTGTTGAGCCGAAGTCACCGGTTCAGCCACTGTCGAAGTAGACAGCGGCGGCACTTCCACATTTTCAGTGGTGGTGTTACTGATAATGGGGGCCGGCTCCGACAGCACCACTGAAGCCAGCTCAGTAGTAGGTACCGGCTCGACGGTGGCAGTGGTTTCCACCAGAGGCGTCACGATCGGCTCAGTCAGCGCCGAGGGGGTGGGCACCTCCAAAGTAGTCAGCTCGCTGAAGGTCGGCACCACCACGGCAGTTTCCAGCGACGGTTGCGGCAACGGTTCAGACAGAGGCAACACTTCCGGTTCGCTGAACGTCGACGGTTGAGGCGCCACCGTCGATTCAGTAGGCACTGAGGGAAGGGGTTCAACGGTGGGTTCGGTCAGCACTGAGGTCAAAGGCTCGACCGAAGGCTCCGTCAGAATCGACGGGATAATTTCCTCCGATTGAGTTGAAGGCGACGGTTGCGGTGCCACAGTAGGCTCAGACAGCGCCGAAGTGTCATGTTCAATCACCGGAGTCGAAACGGACGGTTGAGGCTCCAAGGTCGCTTCAGTTGACACCGAAGGTTGGGGCTCCAAAGTGGCTTCAGTGGACACCGAAGGCTGCGGTTCCAACGTGGCTTCAGTCGACAACGAGGGTTGAGGCTCAAGAGTAGGCTCAGTAGTACCTGACGTCAACGGCTCAATCACGGGCGTCGAAACCACGGGCGTTTCCACCGTCGGCTCAGTCAGCACTGAAGGCGGAAGCTCAGCCGACTGAGTCGGGGTCACGTCGGCCGCCGAAGAATCCAGAGGAATCGGCTGGAAGTCCACAGATTGGGTCGGTGAAGGCTGAGGCTCAATGGTAGCTTCACTCAGCGGCGACGGGAGCGGCTGCTCTGCCGATTGAGTCAGGAGCGACGGTTGAGGTTGGACGTCGGTTTCAGTCAGCGGTGTCGGCTCAGGGTTAAGCGACAGTTGCAGCTGATAGCTAGCGGTGGGCACAGTACTAGCGTCAGTCGAGGGGGTCGGCAACGTGTCGGTCGACGGCGATACGCTGATGTTGATGTCGGCGTCACTCGAAGCTTGCGTCGTCGGCGGTGCTTGGGAAGAAGACACCAAAGGAGTGTCGGAAGCCGTGGCGGAAGTGGGCGGTGCCTGCGAGGTAGTCTCATCAGTCGTCGCCTCCAGGGAAGGCACGGTCGACACCGACGACGGCAGTGAAGTGGGGACATCCAGCGTAGTATCGACGATCTCCATCGACGTCGGCGACAGCACCACGGGAGTGTCGTCAGTAGTCGACTCTTGCAGAGGAGTAGTGTCTGACGGAGTGTCCGACGACTTGCTGAGAAGCTGGGGGGCAAAGTCCAACAGTTGCGCCGTGCTCAGCTGGTCCGCCGTAGGCGAGTAGGTGATGGTGATGGCAGTCGACACCAGCGTCGCCGAGGTCAGCTCTTGCGGTTCAGCCATCAGAGGAGTCGCCGAAGGCAACCCGGCCGTCGACGGCAGCAGCACCTCAGGAATACTACCAGAACCAGTGGTGGTGGGAGCCGTTGTGGGAGTGGTCAGCGGCGTCGTCAGCGGAGTAGTCAGCGGAGTAGTCAGCGGAGTAGTCAGCGGAGTAGTCAGCGGAGCAGCCAGCGGAGTAGTCAGCGGAGCAGCCAGCGGCAGCGAGTCTCCATTGGACACAGCGTTAGCCAGATCATCAGTCACCANGTCAGCGGAGTAGTCAGCGGAGTAGTCAGCGGAGTAGTCAGCGGAGTAGTCAGCGGAGTAGTCAGCGGAGCAGCCAGCGGCAGCGAGTCTCCATTGGACACAGCGTTAGCCAGATCATCAGTCACCACAGACTCAGAGGCCAGGTTCTCAGAGACAGCGGCGTTAGCCAGGTCGTCACCGGGAACAGCAGGCTCGGAAGTGGTCAAAAACTCAGGGACAAAAGTGTTGTCGGTGGTTTTGTCAGTGGTCTTCGAAGTAGGCTTGGTGGTGACGGGAGCTTCAGTAGAAGTGGTCGGCACCAGCGTCGCTTGTGTGTCTTGTTTCGAGAACGACTGGTCCTGGGCACCATTGGCCGCATCGTCAGGGATGGTGGTTTCGGCGGTGCCAGTCGTCGGCACCGAAGTCAGCGAAGTTTGGTCAAATTGCTGAGTAGTGGGCACAGAAACCGGCGTGGTCGACTCCGTAGTAGGCTCAGTGGTGGGCTCAGCCGACAGCGTGCTGGAGGGCTGAGTAGTGGGAACAGCCACAGAAGTCAGCTCAGTAGTAGCCTCAGTAGTAGCCTCAGTAGTGGGCTGAACCGTGGAGGAAGACGGGGACCCAGTGTACTCGTTGGCACCGTTGGCGGCATCGATAGGACCATCCTCTACCTTGGTCGTCGACTCGACATTACCGACGGACGGACTCAGAGGCGACGGCACCTCCTCAATCGAAGTCGGCTGCGTAGTAGGCTGCGTCGTCGGTTGAGTAGTGGCTTCCGTAGTGGGCTGAGTAGTCGTCTCAGTCGTGGGCTGAGTGGTAGCCCCAGTGGTGGGCTCAGTAGTGGGCTCAGTCGTTACCTTAGTAGTGGGTTGAGTCGTAGGCTCAGTAGTGGGCTGAGTAGTGGCCTCAGTAGTGGGCTGAGTAGTCGGCTCAGTAGTAGGCTGCGTCGTCGGCTGCGTTGTCGGCTGCGTGGTAGGCTGCGTCGTCGGCTGCGTTGTCGGCTGCGTGGTAGGCTGAGTCGTAGGCTGCATGGTAGGCTGAGTCGTAGGCTGAGTAGTAGCCTCAGTGGTCGGCTCGGTAGTCGGCTGAGTGGTGGGCGTAGTGGTAGCAGCACCAGTGTCAACGGCAGCGTTGGCAGCGTCGCCGAGCCCTGGACCGCCAACTTCCTCGATGTCAGTGGTGGTTAAAGGCTTGCCATCAGCACCCACGGGGACGTCAGACTCAGTCGAATGCTTAGGGAACACGCCAGAAGTGATGGCGGCGCCAACAAACGTCGAGTCCGTGGTTTGAGTGTCGGTGTTGCCAGCCTGAGGCAAACCCGCATCTAAAACGTGTCCTTGACCAATCTTATTCGTCAGCGATGGAGCAGGCGATGCTTCCGCGGGAGTAGACGATTCAGGAGCGACAGTGGGCGACGGCACCTCAGAGATTTGCGTGGTTGTGGGCGCCGGCGACGGCAGCGGCAGTGGCGCTTGCGACGGCGTGGTCGAGGGAGCAGCCGAAGGCGGTTGTGACAGCGGCGCTTGCGACGGCGTGGTCGAGGGAGCAGCCGAAGGCGGTTGTAACAGCGGCGCTTGCGATGGCGTGGTCGAGGGAGCAGCCGAAGGCGGTTGTGACAGCGGCGCTTGCGACGGCGGCGTCAGCGATTGAGTGGTGGCTTCAGTAGAGGCTTCAGTAGAGGCTTCGGTAGTAGGCGTGGTCGATGCCGGCGCCGGCGACGCAGCGGCGTTAGCCTCGTCCTGAGGGTTGGCGGCTTGCGCGTTGCCATTATTGTCCTGAGAATTGTCGGATTTGCCGAAAGCCTTGCCGTTGTTGCCGTTACCGTTACCGTTGTTGCCATTGCCCTTGCCGTTGTTGTCGTTGCCATTATTGCCCTTAGAATTATCACCTTGAGTGTCGGCGACGGTGGTTTGGGGAGCGGCAGACGTCAGGGGAGCGGTAGACGACTCGGTGGGCAGGGTGAAGTCGGGAACGATCGACTCGACGTTGAATGCCGCCGGTGTCAGGTTGCCCAAGTTGCCCAACGGCGCGAGGGGGTTGAGGGGATCCCAACGCTTCCACAAATCCGTCCAAGACTCGAGCCAGCCGTGAGCAGGGCCCTCGGGGGCGGCGGCGGCGGCGGCGTGGACCGCGGTTACGATCAGAAGCGCCAACCACCGGTTATTTGCTAGCTTCATTCAAAAAAGAAGGACTAAAGGTGGGGACCCAGTAAAACAGGGGGGAAACAAACGAATGGACGGTTGCCAGCGACGAAACTAATAACCAAAAGGAAAAAACGGAGGGTATAAACCGGGAGCGGGATACGAAAACGGGTTCGAGCTCTTTTACCGTGGAACAGGGGGGGTCGGTTGGTATATGGGTGGGTAGATGGGTATCAAGTACGCCGTATGGGAGTGGGGGGAAGTTGTTTTGGGGGACAAACGGTTGTTTTTGGCGAGCGGGCGGGTGGTCGAACTGAGGGTGTTTTTTTCCTGTGGGTGTTGGCTATGTTTTAAGCATGCGTTTCACAGGGGAATGGGGCAGGGCGATGATGGGCGGGTTCGCACGCCAGAGGTGCGTCTCGAGCCATGCGGGGCGGAGCCGTACGTAGACGAGTAAACCAGGGAGGGAAAAAGACGAAGGACAGTGAAATTCGGGGCGGCAAACGATAAGGGCTTTTGCCGCAAGTCAGCCAGGGTCCAGCGAGCCCTCTCGGCGAATGCCACCACCATTTAACAGCCTAAATTGCCAGAGAACTGTCAATTTTCGACGCGTCCATTGCCGTCGTGTATAATAGAATTGTCAGTACTGTCTGCATATAGACCCACCCGATCCTTTGGGAGGTACTCCCTAGCACACACACCGCGCGCAGCGGGTTGGCGCTCTATTGTTAGGTCGACCCGAGGCCCCCCTCTACGCCCTACCCCCCGATTAGCCGTCTCCAGTGCCAAATAAGCTTTTGGCGCCACTGTCGAGCATTGTGTTGATTACAGTGTATTCGGCATTCCGCCCCACGACGCGTCGGGCAGCGTCCCTCACGACGCCACCGCCGGCGTTGGCCAAAACAGGTGGCGTTGCTTTCCGTCGACGAGGCGCCCGGCAAAGTAGCATGAGACTGGTTACTACAACTGTGACTGTTCCTCCTAGTTTCTGTAGCCTCGTGTTTGCGCTGTCGAAAAAAAAAAAAGTAGGGGGTGATGTGTAAGTCTCACAACCACGAATCACGGCGCGTCAAAAAAGAAACCATGGACCATTGATCCCAAGTGGGGGACGACACGCTAAAATTAGACGGGAAATAGTATAGAGAGGAGGCCTTTCGTAAACTGCTATTGTTACCCGTCACCGTCAGGGTCTACAACAAAGCGTATGTTTGGTTCTAGCATCAACGCAAAAGCGTGATGTGGGTGCAGCATCTTTAGACGAGGTGTTGTTATTAGCTACTTGGGAGTTTGGCTGGATCCGCTGCGATTTTTCCGCAATCAGCGACGGCGATGCGCGCTTCGCTCATGGACCATCACTACATCGGGCGCCGCCGGCGATTGCGGCGGTTGGAGGACGACGACGGGCCCTTGGACGACGACGGCCAGCAGGAGGTAATCCTGGAGATCGAGCAGCAGGCCCACGACGACGCCCGCACCTACCAGCTTGTGGTGTGGGTGGTGACGGCATTGTCGTTGACGTTGGCGTTGATGACGGCGCCGGGAGGCGCCAAGGTGGTAGCGCTCGGCGCGCTTCTTGTCGCCACTGCAACCACAGTGGCCTGGCCGCCAGTGTGGGTGCCGGGGGCAGCTGCTGTCGCTGCCGCTGGCTATGGGCTCTACGTGAACATGCCGATGCCGCTTGCGCCGGCAGTGGTGACGTTGCTCATGGCCGCCACCGCCACCTACACGCGCCGCCTGGCCCGCACCAATATTGGCACCCTTGACCGCCACCGTTACCACTACAAACAGAGTTAGGCAGACGAGATCGCCACAATAGGCTAGAGCCGCCTTGATTTGCCCGTGGTACCGTTGAATATACATAATGGGTCCTGCGTCGGGGCGCCCTTAGTGCGACGCGAGTCGCCATTTGTGGCCGGCGCCCTTTTTTTTTCCTGCGTGCGCATGGCGCCTACGTCCATGGTCGGCACATCGAGGCCCCATCACGACGATATAAACAAAAACTGATCTGACATAATGGTTGGTCAGTCTGAACAAGGTTTCGGCAATGATGGTGACGTGGTCTTTAGCAGGGGGACGTCTTTGGTTTTATATACAGGAATAGTAGAATTTTTACAAACTTTCACCACCACAGCAGCACCCCGACGTCATCCTACGGAACGGCACTTGTCGACGCGATGTGTGAGGTATATGTCAATACCCTAAAGGTAAGGGCGCAGATGTAGCGCAGGAGCGTGCTATAGTGTTGCTGGATGGGGTGCCTTATTGAAGTTGCAGTTGGCCCCTCAACCATCGCGTCAACACAGATGGACGTGCCAGGGGCTGGAAAATCATTCCAAGCGCGTATGGGGGGCAGCATCCCAACAGTTTCGACAAGTAGGGACCAGCCATGCTGTTGCTGCTAGCAGGGGCACCCCCTTGTTGGGGTTCATTCGTATGGGTCGCCGACTCTTGCATGAGAGGGTCCTAAAATCGAAAAGTCTAGACCTCATGGGAGAAAGATGGTGAGCTTGATCTCGCATTACCTGGGAAAGTTTGGGTGGAGGCTACACCACTTAGTAATAACAACCACGATCACCTGATCATAAAGCAATAAACTATGGTAGTCTAGATTCTATGGTCAATAGCTAAATTTAGCCTGGCTCTATGAGCAACATTCCACAGCAGTTGGTGCAAAATTATAGTTTTTTTCGATGAGATGGTTAATGACCACTATTTTTTGGCACTAACACTCCTAAAATAAATTTTGAATTCCACTCGATACGAGGAATGCTTAGGGAATGTTTAGACATTGTTGCCCCCCCCTTGATTAAAGGGATGGTCGATGCGAGTATTGAATCATTTTAGCCCTGTTGGTAAGCCGCCTGATATCACTCTCTCACTCCCTCATCGCTATCTGGTTTAGGACTTAATTAAGCACTCACATGCGGCACCTTCATAATTATTATACATCAACTCTTCGCTATATCTATGCTATTCCTTGTTGTCATTGTCCTTGTTTTTCTCCTCCTCCTCCTTCTCCTTCTCCTCGTCTTCTTTCTTCTTTTCCCCGTACTTGTCTCCCCACACATCGCAGTACTTCCACAGCGCGTCCATGCCACACTTCAAGACGTCGCCGCCCTTGCCGAAGTTGGCCAATTGACTCACTAACCCTTGGAGAGAAAGTCGCAGCACCGTTTTATCGGCAATGGAGTACGTCACCTCCATCAAGTCTGCCGCCGGGTGGTACCGACTGAAACCGTTGGGGATGAGCACCAGCAGCTGGCCGCACTTGGCATCGTCGTCATAGAAGCCGGCAACGTCGAGTTTCCAGTCGGCGAAACCCAGCACCGCTCGAAGATAGAACTCCCCTTCGGGCTTGCGATCTATCACCACAATATTGGGACGGTACATGTGGGGGGAACACCCACAGTCCTTTAAGTGAGCGCGAGCAATACCAAGCCACCCTGACGCTTCCGGGTAGCCAAGACTAGCGAAACTTAAAAGCTCAGTACCTCCACGCAATGCCCCGACCCGTTTAGGCCCAGAGTCTTTTTCTTTAATTAATTGACAGGTGGTGGCATCCTTAGTGAGCTCACGAGACCCTAAGGGGCACTCAAGCACTTCAAACCGGTCCCACCGGTACACGAAGTATACCAGCGAGTTGTGGCCGTCGATAAACGGCGTCCAGTTCTTTTCGTTCTCTTTCGGGCGCTCGCCGTCGATGGAAAGCCGCGACGTACGCGTGAACTGGCCCGTCTTCGTCTTGCCGTTATCAATATCACCTTTGCCCTCCTGAGTTTGCCACGGCCACGCCACATACATCAGCCGGTGATGTTTATAGATGCCCTTGGCCTTGTCCGTCTTTTCCACCGAGAAGTCCTCGGTGTGCATGTTGAACACCAACATCGGCTCCTGGTAGCCTTCCTCGTTGTTCACCATCAAAATCCGCGGGTCCTCGGGTCCGTAGTAGCGCTTGTTCTGCCGGTTTACGTCGTGGTAAAAGGGGATGGGGACAATCTGGGGGTACGATTGAGTGTGCCAGTTGCCGTAGCCATCGGGGACTGCCAACGTCGCCTCCACCGGCTTCCAATTAGGGTCATACAAGTGGACCAACGTTAACGAAAACAACGGCGTCTGCTTATTGCCGGAGGGGGTATAGATGAGTCGCAGGATCATCATGTGCACCCGGTAGTCCTCAAGCCAAACCAGCAGGCCTGCGAAGCGGTACCAGTGCTTGGAGATGGTGCCTTCTCGGAGCTGGTCGTCGAGGTTGTGGTCCTTATTGATGAGGGTGGAAATCTCCTGGAAATAGGTCGACTTCAGCCGCTGCCACGCCACCAAGATCAGCTCGATCAGCTCGTCAACGTCTGTGGGCGGGCTGACGCGGATGTCGACGTTTTCCACCTCACACTCGTCGTCGCCGTACATGTGGATGGTGTCGTCGGATAGCTCGGGAATTGAGAAGTGGATGTTGGCGAGCTTATGGCCGAGGTCGTGCTCGATGGCCGGCCCGGAGTAGCTCTGGGGCATCACCACCGCCTCGAGGGTCGACGACATGTCGACCACCTTCGCCTTCTGGAGCACCACGAGCATGAGCACCATGAGCACCACGCCTACCGCGAGAGCGAGGTACCTCGACGGCGGTCGCACGGTTAGCATCATCTGATCGGATAAACTTTTTGTTTTTTTTTTTGACGGGGGCGTCTTTTTGGTATCCGAGTTGGTTATATACGATCGCCGAAAATTTGTGTGAGAGGCGCCATGACGACGTGAGATAAAGTGTAAGCCTTGCTTCCCCAACAGCGACTTGCAGTTGACTGCGTATCGCAGTGGTGCTATTGGTTGGGGCACACGCCGGGCGTTTCCTTGGCACGATGCCGGTGGCATTTACGTGGTGCTATTAGTCGTTAATATGAGGCCCTCCTTGAGCTTCTAAGGCTACTGGGTGGCCATTGCTCGCGCACCGCCTTCATCGGTTTTGAGTCCTGGGTTTTACATAGTGGCGGTAAATTCTCGATGCAGTCCCCACAATGGAATTGCTGCTGAAGGCGCGTCTGCAGCCATTGAGGTAGAGGCATCCTCGGCAAATCAGCCATTGCATCTTTGTTAAAAGGGGCAGTATCTTGGTGGCGTCGGCCTATCATCGCGCTCAATTTGCCTAACCTCGTGGGCGGCGAGGCTGTGCTAGGGGCATATAGACAATAGAAATGTCCAAGACAATTCCTTTTGACACATGTCGCATCGATCGTGTGCAGGCACACGAGATTGCCTTCCTCCGTGTCAAATGGAGAAAAAAGGATCTCGGGTGAGCCGTCGATCCTCGTTTGCAAGGTAAAACTATCACCCACTTCAATTTAGGACGTACCATTCGATTTGCGAGTATTTTTATCGAGGGCCCCCGCCCGAGAGATGTCGGGGAAAATACCTGCATGCCCCCGAAACTTACCAAGGCTTAACCGGCCACTTGCGGACGGAAGCCCATGTCGCACAGACCCCGTGATGAAATTTACTCCCACCGTAACATTTGCGATGTGTCCACGGGGTTCGGCGAGATTGTAACTCCCGATGAACGATTGTAGAGAACTCGTTTGGTAGATTTGTGGCAGATCGCCGTTGGGGAGGGTTGGATGGGGGAAGACAGGGTGATGACTGTCTGAGGGGTTGTACGAAGCGGGGGGTCATTCATTAGGGGCTCGTAGCCGTGCCGCGTTAGAGAAGTGTCTGGTGGCTTGGTTTATCTCTTTTTTGCAGTTCGTATTGATGTCTTCATAATTGAGGGTTGTCTATGTCTCTCGTGATAATTGTAAAAAATGTTGATATTCGGACATAAAAGCACCGGCCGCGTTCGACTCCCCACCGTTTCGCAAATAGGCATCGAGTTCGAGTCTTGACTATCTCTAACCCTAATTATACATAAGTCGGTTGTTTGACGAATGAGGAGATTCAGAAAACAATACCCAACCTTAATTCTCTAAATTGGGGCTTACATTCTACGATAAAGCTCACACTCACTCTAATTTCATCTACCATATCGCATCCAGCCGAGTCTAAGCCTATCACTTGAACTACGACAAAAAAACGCTCGAGATATGAAAAGCCACACTAATTCTAAAGTTGACTGTGGATGAAAACATGTGGCTGTCAGCGGTAGATTGTGAAAAACGTCTAGAGATACACCATCGACAGATTGTGGAGGCTTCGTTCCTGGCCACGCGGCCGCACTGTACAGTTCACATGACTGGCAAATAAAGTAGGAGTTCCTAGTTGAGTTATCGGTGTCAGCTTGGTGAGGGGTTTGACAATGGAAGCCACCGGGAAGCCATAGAATGTGATTCTTGGTTTGACAAGTCTTATTCGCCAAACTGAACTCCATGGTTGTACACAAAACGAAGACATTTTGATGCGGCTCCATCGGGAACTGTTACCGACACAGAAATTGATCGGCCCAGTGTCAAATGAGCCCAGATATAGTAAAGGGGAAGAAATAATACCTCGATTGCTTTTCTGTCACTTCTGACCCCTCAACCAATTCTATTTCGCAAGCTTGATACTGATATTGTATCGTCTTTTCATATCTTTCTAGACACGTGTGTATCTTAATTGTCATCAATTGATAGTGATGAATTCACCATCACAACCCGTAATTAAATTTTCAGAGTGTATCTGGCTATTTTTACGGCTTATGTTAATAAACAGCAACGTTGTCGGGGCAACGCTCGGTTAGCCTAATCGGGTTGCCCTCACCCTTAAAACTCGTGGTAGCAAATTACGACGGATCTCGAAATAGGGGAACACTGCCGCCATTGAAGACGGAGACAAACACACCCTGATGATAACGAATTGTGGCAGTGTGGTCTTTATCGATTTGGATACTACTGAGATCAACTGATTTCGGTTTTATCGGAACCAATTGTGGTTGTCACTGTAATCAACCTTATTTACCAACAAACCTGTTAAAGATGGAGGTTAGCGGCCCGCACGATGTCGGTTAACTCGCGGGTATCGAGGCTAAACACGGAAATGTCGGCACCACCGTTCGGAGGTTACGGGTGTTGCCACCCATAATGACTAACACCACTGAGTAATGGCACAAACGTGCCAGAAAAACAAAGGCCATGCGCTGCTAGAGCAATCGGAGTCATGGTGAAAAATCGCACAAGCTGTCAAAATGTACGGACGGACATACACGTGCGCTTTTTTGACGAGACTCATCATTCATTTTCTTGGTGAGTCAGGCTGGCGAAACTAAGCAGCCCACAATTAATCGTTTCTTCTTTATGGGTGTGAGAGTGTCCATCGTTTCACTTGGAGGGGGTATAGTCCGATTGGCTCTCCACCCTATCCTTTACTCGGCTCGAAAGCAATAATGGGCAAAGTAAAAAAAAAAAAAGGGTGGCGCGGCAAGTGAAAAATTTGCAGCCGAATATCGGACCATGAGTAATCCGACAAGCATGAGAGCGAGAAGCGACACTCTGTGTGGGTAGATTAATGACTCAAACCAACGCAGTGGCAGACCCGTGCAAATGGGAAGGAGCGTGACCTTTAAATACCACTGAGTATATAGAGGACGTGAAGGGGGGATGGTGGCGAATTACTGGGTGCAACCCACCGCCGATCCTCACCTCTGTGAGGCTGGTGAGTCAATTTGCAAAATCCCAGTAACACGAGGGTCTAGCCCTCTCGACTATGTAGGCGATGACACAATTATATTTTTACTCTGCAGTTACACCGTGTGCAGTACCAACGTGGGGAAAGCGCCCCGAATCTCGGACCCCACATCATGTGGCACGGGCTTACATTCAGGCTCGTTCTCCGTTCCCCACACATAGTGTGAAATTCTCTATACTCACATTTGGAATTTGGGGAGGAACGGATGTCGTTCCGATCCTGTAAATATCGCAGCGATCACCCCCTCAGGAAACCATCTCGTTACCGAGGGGTTACCGGTGGCGACGGTGATGCCAGTGCTGCTGACGAGCCCGCGGATGAGATACCCGTTTCCGAGGGCTACCCGTCCCGCCCCTAATCTTTACTTGGGGATTTACACGTTACCGGTGCCGCTATCGGCGTAAACTCTCGGCCACCACCACAGCGTCGTTCCCCACACTGTGTTTATCGGACGTGCCGCGTCGGACGCGCTTTCTCGCTATCAACGTGTTTACGATAAGTCTAATCAGAACCAGATACAAAGCACAGATAGCGGCCGATAGTCTAAATCAATCTACTGTGGCTGTCGACCACAGTGGGGTTATCGCTGTAGAAACCACACCCCGATCACTCGGGAATGGTAGATACGAGTTCCTAGAATTAAGGTTGGGTTTGGGAAGCCAGGGAAGCATCGCTCGCCCTCACGGCGTGAAAATTGGAGAAAAAAAAATTTCACCCGGCGCTCACGGTGCCAATTGCGACCAGCAGAAGCGCTACATGAGGGCCAGCGGGGGTCCCCCACAGTAGTAGATGTAGGGTAACTGCCAACACATTGAGGCTATGGCGGGAAGAGAAAGTTTTGTTGTGGTTATCGGAAAGGGTTTACGACGATAACTATCTCATGATCGTCACACTTGCCGGTTGGGTGTGTGTTGCTGGGTGTGGCTTCATCCGAGTGAGGGGTGTTCATGCAAGCGAAGAAATTTGCCAATCTTTAATTCCCATTACCGCATTCGGCCGAACCCCCGCTTCCTCGCAAACATACCTCGCACCAACGAGGGTTGCTAACCTCCACCCAGCAAATGTATGCTGGGGCCTTGGCGACGGGTGCTAGAACCACAGAACCGGACGGTCACTAAACCGGTATCAGTAATTGATTGGTATCCGTTATCGGGGGCTATCGCAGACCCAGTGGGAGCGATAGGCGTAGGCGATAACGAACGACCCTGGGTGCAGCATTAATTCCGTCCGCTTAAATTAGCTGTGCGACGTCCCGATACCGAGGGGATACGTATCGAGTCATAGGAAAAAATTTTCATTGAGGGGATTGAGTCACCACTTCTCCGGACTGACGGCTAGCCCACCAAAAGGAGTGGCGGCCAGTCCGTGACCCCCCACACTGACAAGTAGCCGTGGTGAGTCACTTTGCCGCTTACACAGTTTTCACGATGACACATTTGACACCCACAGTTTTTTAGTGTGATCTACGCCACTGTGGTGGACACCTCTACTACCCTTACGTGTGCCATGGGTGTGTCGTCGTAGGCCACGAGGCCATCGCACGTGCCTCGACCTCGATCCGAGAAACCGGTGTGGTTAGCCACGTTGTGAGCGAGCTCCAGCGAAAAAAAAAAATTTGCACTTCGCACTGTGGCCTTTTTACTAAATCACTGACCCCTAAGGCGATACCACGTGACCGCAGCCATCCAAGAATAGTAAGTTTTTTTGGGCGCTTACGAATAATATCGAAGCTGATGGAATCGATCTCTGACAAATCGCCACCAAAACATTCTGTAGCTATTATTAGGGGTTGACGATGCCGTATATTTCACCTGTTTCACCTATTTTCATTCACATAAACCGTGGTTGTTAGCCAACACCAACATGTCGATTGAGTCACGATATGGGTATATCTCACGTGGGGGGCGTGGTGGGTGTCTGAGCAGCTTTGCTTTTCGGGGCTCGTCCCGGTTCCACAGGTGCATATTGCGTGCAAGTCGTGGCACCGGCAGAAAAAAAATATTTTTAGGACCGCTCGGGAGGGGCACATGGCCCACATATATAAGGATGAGGTTTCCACTGCCGAGATCAACAACATCGAAGAACATTTGCATTATTGACTTGTAACAAAGTTCAATACCCATCCCCGATACATTACAAAGCATCCGAAGCATCCCCCCTCCTCAAACACATACCCAAAGCAGACTACACACAACCCCCCATTGCCCACATGTCTGACGCTTTTAACAACTACTGTCTCACTTGCGACCAGCTCTGCGGCCTGACACTGGTCTACTGCCTGGAAGAGTGCAAGGAACACGACCAGCTCCACGCGCACAACGAGATGGTGCTGCCACTTTTAACTCCGCTGTACTCGATGAGCCAGACGCTGGAGCCGCTGCCCCTTATGGGGTACTCGTTGGCTCCAGTGGCCGAGCCCGTCGACGACTTTGATCTTTACACCGTTCTGCTTGATCTGTTCAACACCACCCCGACGTCGGTTGACCTGGGGGCGCTGGCAGTTCTGGATAACTACCGGAAGTGGCTCCACGCTTTGTACTAAGCTACAGGAAAAAGGAGCCCGACTCTCTTTAGTTATGACGACATGAACTCATATTGCATTTTTCATAGATAAGCATCACAAATCACTCATTCGAATTTTAAGTGTAGCCTTTCGATTTTGTTTCTACTACTACTACTACTACTACTACTAGAGTGCGGCTGCGGGGTTTGTACTGTGGCATGTGCGAAGCTTAGCTAATAAATTGTGTAATGGTTCAACAATTGTCTGCATTTTTTTGTTTTATATAGGAGAAATATACATGCACCATCATTGACATTGCACCCGTAGCTTTTTGACAATAGCGACACTAACCTCTCAAATGTGTATTACTTTGTAGGGGAGTGCTAATCAGCGAGGGAGTTAGGTGCTGAAGGGGGCAGTGAGGGTGAGGTGACACTGCCCATTGCATGCTCGGTTGCGAAAAAATTAGGGTTTATTCCTGGTCTAGAATGTGGAGTTTGAGGTATGGTAACGGGATTAAGCATTTCAGGGATCAGGGATAAGCGTGCTTCGTAATCGCATGACATTTTGTCTATGAGGTATACTTACGTTTTTTTTGGTTTTTTTTTGGAAAGAGCGTAGGGCCTGGGCAGACGCAAGGTAGCGGGCGCGCAATCCGCAGCAGCTCGTTACCCCACATTATTCACTCGTCGGGATCACCTACTCCGCTTTCCGTTCCCTTTTCGTCAACAACCCCAAAAATACCGCTCGGCATCGATGCCAATGTAAGAGTCATGCCTTTTTCGTTTGGCCATATGAATCCGATTCCCTTATCTACTCCCCTCTCCCCCTCCTAATCTATAATGGGCTAATGTTGGGCTCGTAGCGTTTCTCAGCCTCCTTTGCCCCCTACCTATATTAGGAGGCTTATTAGCCCACACCTACCTCGCTTAACAGTTGCGCTGGCAACGTAACCATGAAGCACCAGGCACATTTCTGAGCTGAGACCTTCACATTTCTGGGCTGAGCTCTTCACATGGTATGGAGTACACAGTGCCGCTTACGGTAACTAGTAGCTGACCAGAGACTACGGTGAAAGGAGGTGACTGAGGTAAGAGAGCATCAATGACCTTAATTTGCGAGAAACTCGATCCGAAGGCAAAAGCAATCAGAACAATAAGGACAATAGCGATAAATCACTCACCCGCCTGCTCTCACTTTAAGGTTACCCTTTTCAAACCCCCTGAATAATAGGGCATTGTTCTGTCCACTATGCTGTCACCACCAGAAAACTTCGAAGCCGTTGGTGCGCGCGGAACCGGGTAGCGCGATGGGAAAAAACTTTTGAGGTCGAGCGCGAGAGTCACCTCCATCGAGACCTAGACGACAAGCAATGTTGGGTGCGTTCAAGAGCTCGATGAGCCTTCTGGGGGGTTACCTTTGGAAGAAGGCGCCGCGGTTGTCGCTGCCGCAAAAGTACCGGTTGAGACAGCGAATGAAGACCGTCGACTCCAACATCGAGGCGATCTATCAGGGGATGATCGCCCTCCAAGGCAAGCAGGCCGGCGAGCCCACGGGGTTGTCTAAAGTCGATTTCCTCAAGTTTGACTTGCCCAAGGAGCACGAGTTGGCCCCCAGAGACAAATACACTACTTTTGACAAGAAGGTGAAAAACTACCGCAAAGACCTTCACTTGGTGCCCAAGTGGACCAAGAAGACGTTCCGGGTGTTCCCCAAGTACTTCTGAGAGCACCACCGGCCATGTACATAGCAATTTAGCACGAATATCTTACGTTACTTCCACTTCCGTCATCGCCATCGCCGCTGGCAGCTACGAAAAACCCCCTGTGCTAACAGGAAATCTGTGGTGGTGGCTACCCCCACTTAGCAATAATTGTCAATAGGCAACAGTCGGTGAGGCTTTCCGAGACACCACCGCAGCTGTACCACGTTGGTAGCATTCGACCGAAGCGGGGGAGGGCACGCGGCGACATCAATTTCACTTCCATGCAACGAAGGTGACCTGTCGATGTTAGTCGCGTCGCGACGATGGAACGTGGGGCCAGGCTACATTTGAGTTGAATTGAGTTTTAGACATCCTCGACGAACCACATGGTGCTCCCGCTTACGGTAATCACGAGATCGTAATCAGCGTTCTTACATGAAAGCAACCATAGCTAATGTCCGTTTAGCCCCATTTAGGATGGCAACCGTTTTGCTTTCGGCGGGTAAAAACACTCGCTTGACGCGATCGTCGCTTGCCACATGAACACGAGAAATTGAACAAAATTTTTTTTCTCTAACGAAAGCATGATTATCAATTAATTTCAGGGCGGAATGGCCACCTGAATTAGAGGAATTGCCATCTTGAAATTACAGGTGTCACCAGTGTTTGTGTTATGTGTACAAATGGGCTGATTGGAGGCAGTGAAGCTCCAATTCTCACAGTAGAAACCTTAAACATGGTCTCGACTTTTTGGCTCGGGACTGACGCTTTTTTTGTGCCCTGCCGCGTTTGTGATTGAACCCTGACGATCGTTGGGAGAATCGCAATGACGTCGTCTATATAGCAGGAAAATCGATTGCTAACGGGACAAACACGTGAGAAGTGTGTGTGTTGCCTTGCTACAGTGGCTTTTTTTGTCATCTTCTGCTGGAATAAGCAGAGCGGTTCAACATTTATACCGACCTACTTGGTCGTGGTGATTATGCTATTCAGTATGCGTTGGCATTTGCCTGGTAGAGAAAATTGTTGCTGATGCCACCACCGAGATTCGAACCGTAGACGAGAATTTTTACTAAATAAGCGCCAAGTCACCTGACTTGGCGAAACGCCACACTCACGAACACAGTGGTGACCAGCTGTCATTGATGCAGTTGTGATATAAACGAGCCGTCCCCTCGCACTATCGCATGGAGTTTAATTACCTGGAGAATTAGCTGTTACCAAGGTAACCCCAGCAACACGCCTCTGTTTGCCATGTGAGGGGGGCATCGAACTTTACCGCCGGGTGTTGCAGACTATCCGTGACAATGCTCTGACGCTTTTTGACGGTCCAATAAACGCTCGAGCTGACGTCAAATCATGGCCCGGATCCTTTTTATGTCGTTCCGTGTCGTGTCCAGCTGCGATATCGCCGAGTGTCAAAAGCTTCGATCCGTGGGGTCAAGGTTCCGGAGTCATGAGATCAGAGTCGCAATTGAATAAATTGGATGAAAATTACAGGGCATCAAACATGAATTAGTTGGGAAGTTGTCGGAGCAAGCGGGCCGTTGTGAAGTTTAAGGTACTAACAGCTGAAGCAGGGGGGCAACCAGTTATAGCGTTTACATCAACGTTCAAAAAACGTTTAAAAAAATTGATTTCAGGGTCCTTTTCGATTCAGGTTTTGCTCCTCATCCCTTAATGACGGATAAGTGGGGGAGCGACATTTCTGATTAATTCGCCGAAAAATGTCGCCACCAAAAATGCTTGCGAATCATTGGAGGCTTGTGATTGCTGCTTCGCAACAGGAGGTTAATCCCCCCC